ACAAAAGAGATTTTACCATTTGTCACTACCTAAAGTACCTACAATTCGGCCACACCGAATGTCAAAAGGATTCTCGTGAAACGCTGGGGCATCATTCAAAAGCAACCCAAGCCAGGGCTTCTGATAGGTCGCAGGAAAAGGTCAAATTTTGCAGGATTTTTAGATGTGGCTAAATGTAATTTAGGCAAAGTTAACCATGAAGCAATGCTGGTCAGCTGTTTCCCCAGCTATATTAGGGGTGGCCCGATGTCTCTAGCAGGGGCACCTCGTGACTTATATACGCAGTTGCTTGCTTGCAGTTCTTCGCAAAGTGTTGTTTCAATTGCTTGNCAGAAGTGTTAGCTTATTGTTTCCATGATACAAAGGTCATTTAAGTTAAGCAAATCGATAATTTGAAGCATTGGCGCTATTCTCTGTCTTATTAGGAAATGCAATTGCTCGACTTGAAAATTACCAGTACTTGCAAAAAGGATTTAATAAAAGGAAAAGCATTAAATGTCTTTTAAGGACTAACTCAGTTAACTTTGAACAAGCAAATGAGATCTTGAACAAGGCTACCCTTTAACGCTCATTCAAGAAATACAGACTGCAGTTAAGTTCACCGACAGAAACAAGCCTCTTTGCAACAAAACAAACAAAAGAGATTTTACCATTATTTTGTCACTACCTAAAGTACCTACAATTCGGCCACACCGAATCTCATAACGATTCTCGTGAAATGCTGGGGCATCATTCAAAAGCAACCCAAGCCAGGGCTTCTGATAGGTCGCAGGAAAAGTTCAAATTTTGCAGGATTTTTAGGGACAAATTAGCGGAAACATCGGCTAATTTCGCAGGAATTTCGCAAGAATTTTCAGGGTAAACTTCACCGAAAAGCAATCGATAGAAAATGGCCAATTTTGTGGTTATTTGCGGGGCACATTTCACTAGTAATCAATTGATTTTGCAGTGATCAGACCAGGGTTTTTAATGTTTTATTTTAAAAGAGGTCATCATTTGCTCTTTCAACAACAACATGCTCCAGAAATGGACCAATGGCAAAACCTTTAACATCACGCCTAGTGCCCAGTTTTTTGCAATATAATCTATACCTGGTAGTTTTGGGGATGTTGTTTGCATGTTTCAGTGACAAAGTTTCAAGATAAATTTGCAAGTTTACTGGAAGTAAATAGCCCCAATAGCTGAGATAAGTTTCAAATATGTTGTACAGACAAGCATTTGATAAGATTTCTACCGAATTGCACGGTATTGTGTGTTTTTTGGTGAATTTTGAGGGCTTTCACAGATCTACCTGAATTTCACAGCCACCGATCATTTCCAATCCCACAGGAAGGAAAAATCTCTCAAGGACATTCTAGTCTGTGCGAAAATTCCTTCAATGTCGCAACAATCACAGAAGCAACAAAGCAGTTTAAAGCAAACTAGAACTTGGCAATTTCCATACAATCACCTTAACTGACTTCTAAAAAAGGCTATCACGCATCCATTCATTTATTGCAAAACAACTGAGTCAATATATTTTTAGATCTCTTAAAACTATCACTGATCATTTTTATGACAAATGTAGAAATTGAGGACTAGTAGAATTTATCAAAAAATTCATATGTAAATGAAATACAGTGAATAACTGTAATTTTTGAGCATCACAAGATAGATTATTTCAGAAAAGAATCCCAGTTATACGAGGTGGATATCAAGCGGATTTTTCATTGAGAAGCAATTGACCAAGAGGACTTTGCCTTCTTAAATTCCCCCACCCCTGGGGGAAATCCTCAACTTTGGTCTACCCATTTTACAATCCCCCTAGATGGCCCCGGGGACTACCCCTGGGGCAAGTCGATGACAGGTGCACAAGATAATAGTTATAGGTAAAGTACTTAAGATTGTAGCGAAAAGCATCTTATTTAGTGAAAGAAGACTTTCACACAAAGAATCCTCTTCTTAAGAGAAAATAACTAAAGATAATATATGAATGGTAAGATTTCCATATAACTCGATAAGCTGAGTTCATCATGCATACAGCAATTTATACGTAGAGTCGAATGAATGTATCGGGGTAACAGGGATATCTCACCAAAGATTTTCTTTCTAAACAAAGCAACGAAAGTTACTAAGCAGTTGTTAAAGCTTACCTGTATACATCATTAAAATAGCCAAGCAACGTTATGGGACGGTCGTACACAGCAAATAATTATAACGTGGTCAACATTCCAGCGACTTGCAGTTACGCCGGCGGATAAGTTTGTCCAAAAATGACACAGAACGAGGAACGAAGCATTTCCAAAGGTAGCATCCATAGAAAAGTTCATTTTCCGCAAGATCTTGACCACAAAATGTAGCATTTTCCATTAGCAGTCGACGATCATGGCTTCCATTGCAACGTATTGGGTTCTCGTTCCCAGAGTCCTCGCGGCACTAGATTTCCCGCGAATTCGCGATTTTCGCGTTCTATTTTCAGGAAAAATCGCGTAATTAAATACTCGCGAAATATGGCTCATGATTTTTCGTTTTTCGCGAAATTAAGTGAGAAAATTAAAGGTGATACAAGAGTTTGTATGGGTAATAGGACTTACATCAAGTAAAAGTAAAAGTTACATCAAGACTTACATCAAGTAAAAGTAAAAGTTTAAGCTAGAACGGATAAAACTCATTAATAAAGTATAAATATTGTTACTTACATGTGTGTTTCTTTTTCTTTCTATGAAGTTTCAGCTCCACTTGCGCAGAATACCATCATCTGAACTAACGGTGTAATCCGTAAAAACTGCTCAAATTGCGCTGTAACTGCGGTTACAAAAAAAACTCAACGACACCGAGAAACAATGTTTAATTTATACTTAGTTGAAAACTTTTACCTGTTTTATTTTATTTAATCGATGTAAGTTTTATTTGCCATACAAACTTCAATTATTTTGACCCGTATTTTTTTAAAAAACTCTCATATTGAGCTTGGTTTACCCTGAGTGAAAAACAGATTTTCCCCTTGGCTCCAAGATGGCCTCACTCTATAAAGCTGAAGCTGCCTTTTAAACTTTTTCAACCTCCTAAAACATACCTAAACATAAGGAGCTAAACATCGATTTTTCCAAAAACAAGAATGCTCTAAAAAGCGGACAGTCTCGCTTGCTTCGAGATTACATAAGAAATAAGACAGTCTAAAAGTGTTGATTCGAACTTGCTTAAAGATGAGATAAGAAATAAGGGGGCAATTAATTCTTAAGGAGCCCGTGTTCGGACGTGGGAGCCACAGGGACCATGTGGGGAACGAGAAAAAAAATGCTAGTTAGCCAGGTTACACAGTAACCATTGACTGCCTTTGGTACATAAAATAATGTAGTATTCGCACTCCAAACCTATTCTCCGACTTTAGCTTCTCTTAGATCGGCTTTTTTTAATTATTATAAGTCCGCGTTAACTGTTTCCTATGATTGCGAAGACCCACGTTCGTTCAAGTCTATCTCTTTAAAATGTAATAGTGCTCGTCCCTTGTCTTGTCCAATAACTTGTTGTCTATAGCTGTAGTTTTTCTTGCATTGCCGTGTTTTTTAATATTTCTTGTTTTTTTATTAGTAAATGGCCACAGCTGTTGCGGTGTTCCTGTCAACGTTCTTTCTGTTTGTTTGTTTTGTTTATTTGTTTGTTCTTTTTTTGGCGAAGCTAATAAAAAGTACCTTGTCTGAATGTGGACCGCTTCTCGCGAACCGTTACACTCTTTCAAAAGCTTCTTATCCAAAATGACTTCCCGTGTTGAGGATGTTAAATAGTAAAATTGTATAACATGTTTAAGACTCAAAACTCTGAGAACCAAATCCTGTTCAGCGGCACATATTTTAGACCAAATAAGGGAATGCCCAGCCCCCCTCCCTCCGGGGTTCTGAGAAGGATTCCCCAACCGGCAAGAGACAAACCAGTGGGCGCATTTGCAAGCATGTATGGCCAAAGCAGTCATGCAGTGACTGTCATAAGAAACAAACCAAACTTGATCAGGAGTGAATTCCGGAACATCTGGCTTTATTAGCAGCTGTCTGATTAAATGACGTTCAGCTTTAGCAAAGCATATTTGAAGTCTGGGTCAGTCGGGTTGAGCCACACCAGACTCCTTAATGGACAAAAAGGGGGAAAAAAGAATAGCTGGGCATAAGGAGGGAAAAAGGGTGGTGGCCATTCCCCCACTTCCCTTCTTCCCATCTCCACCGATATTAAGCCCCTTTCCCCAAACGGAGGGTCTCTTCACGGGCTAAGTTGTGTATGAATTGGTGGTGGGGTCACTGGGGTGGGTTGAAAGTGGTATATAGTTGGTAGGATGGAATAGTCTGATGAAATATTCTCCAGATTTACTAGAGGTTGGCATCTATCCCATTTGAGTACAACGTAAGCACTACAGCTTCCATAGAGGAGTTGCAGCTTACCCCCTCCCCCTGCACCATGTGCCTCTGTGGGGGTGGGTATAAGTGTGCTTTAACGCACGCGAAAAGAGTAGAACTGTACTGATCAAATAATTGTTCTGCTGAGTGTCAGTCTTAAACTGTGCAAAGTAAAATTTTACAAAACTTATCCTAAACCCAGTCATGATTATCATCATTCCGCTTACGATGAACTTAAAGTTAAATGGCTGTCCAGCGTATTACCGCCTTTTTTTACGTTAAGCCGCGCGCGTCACACGCACGTTCTAAGATCTGGCCTGTAAGAAATTATTTCATCATTACTTAGTTTAGAACGCCAACAAAAAGATTTCTTTAAATCCATTTCGAACTCGCTAATTACTATTTCTTTCTTATTCATCTGGCATTAAAACAACGACCTTAATACACTTCCGAAGTTCCCCGGAAGGGATTATGACACGGCTTGCGTAGCGTCCTTCCCACTCTCCGTTCTTTCTTGTTCCCATACTTCTTTTGAACTAGAGCTGAGAATTGTTTTGTCGGTTTATTAATAAGCGCTTGCCGATTGGCGCTTATTGATGCAAAACAAAAATAACACTCCCTTTTTCTAATTGCAAAGTTTTCGAAACAGTCAAACAACGTAAGTCTATGCAAATGCTAACAAGAGGTTGTCATGCTTAAACTGTCTAACTTTTAGATTCGTCGATGGGCCATGTTACTTAAAACACTTTGTTTCTTTATGAAATATGTCCTGGAGTCTACACGGAAGAGGCTTAGCTAGCGAATGTGGCGGCAGAAAGGTAAGTTTGTTAAAAAGCAACTTTAGGGGGCTTGTGTACTTCACAGATCGTTTCACAGGGTATTTATCGAGGCATGATAATGCATTCACCGTGATATTTCAAATTTACTGTATAGCGCAGTTTTGTGAAGATTAATTTTGATGTTCGGGATAACGTGAAAAATTCCGATCGATGACAAGATTTTGCAATTTTAAACGTTTGCAAACCATTTCATCAGACAGCATAAAGGGAAAATGGATAAACAATTCATGAAGCAGATTGTTAGCTCTATTAGCTTCTAGCTCCTTGCTCAATGAAAGTTTAACTCAAGCTTTCTGTCCCCATTAGCTTATGTGGTCGCTATATTTAGTACAAGATCAAAACCAGAGTTGAGAAGAATATGGAACGAAAGAACATTCTTTGCGATCCTAGCAAGTGAGAAGACATATCTATACATTTCCGCCTTGAAAAAAACAGGCCGGTATGACCTATGAACGCCTATGACAGGCGAATTCAAGTACATGCAAGTACGTCGTAGACACCAGGTTTTTTTTTGTGTGTATTGAAGATGTCTGAAAGTTTATGCTTTTGTTAGCTTTTCCCTTTGCTGTTAAACTCTTATATAAACGTAAAGTATCGTGTGCGTCAAAAGCTGCATGACACGGTTGATAACCCAGGCGCAGTCACATGCATTGCGCGTTTTATATGACACGTACAATTTACGGCTCTTCTGCTTTTTGGGAACAACAGATCAGACAAGCAGCGCTTTTGTCAGGAAATTGTCACAAGTGAACGAAAAGCCAATGATCATAATTATAATCAGTGTATGCAGTCAAAGGATAACTTACAAGGCAGTGAAAGCTAATTCATGGCTTCAATATTGATTACGTACTTAAACATTGACATAGACAGGCAATATGATTATGATGACAGTCAGAGTGAGCTCACTTATATTCTTATATTGTCGCTGGTATGAGTCCATGTCTGCGTTGTCGTCGGTTTTAACATTTGTCTTGCTCGTCAGAGTTGTGTTTCTCAGGTTGATTGTTTGTTTGTGTTTTCTCTATCGCTCTCTTTGACATTCGACAGACAGATTATTTGTTCATTCAGTCAGCTGTTCAGTTTGCTTCAAAAAGCCGATTCTCCCTTGATAATATATAATGCGGGCTTCTAAAAACGACCTAGCGGTAAACTATTTCCGAACTTTCAATGTATTTGCTTCTATATGCACACCGTGTCTCTTGTAATTATAATAACTCCTTAAAGTCCAGCAAAGCGGAACTCAGTTAACCAGACCTCAATAGCTCTTGTCCTGCTCATGCGCTCGCTTAATCATAGCCAGCTCAAAGCGTTCTCGTTCGTACTAAAAATCAAGCTGGTGTATAGGCTAGATGACGTCGATGACTGATGTATTGGGTATTTTATATAAGTTTTTATAATAATGGTATTCCTATTAATAGATTCGCATATTTCTAATTTGTATACGATAAACAGTATTCGCCAACTCCCTTTACGCGTGACTTCGTCTTTATAGTTTCATGGTCTTGTAATCATAAAAATAAAATAACAAACAAAGCAAAAACATGCAGGACCGAGCGAGTTAATCGTTGTGGTAAACGAACTCACGTTTTATCTTTCTTGCTAACGTAGGTTAAGAATGATTTCCAAGATATGAATGTTTCCTTTCGCATCAAATTTGCTAAATGGCGACAGCAGCATCTTCACCCCTGGCCAGCTCTCCAGCGAAGACAAATGGAAACAAGCTGAGCAGGCTTCTCATCGATGGTGGAACAACGGTGCTGAGGAATATTTTCGATCACTATCACCCACCTGTCAACTTGGCTTCTGATCTCAATTTCAATTACTCCATTCTTAACAACCTTTTGCGTAAAAGAGTGCTAAATGGCCATCAGTGGGACAAACTCTTCCCCCCTGGTGGAGGGGTGCCAGACTCCAACACGTTTGACATCACTCTTCTGTTTCTGCTGCTAACTACCATTTGCGGCTTATCCCCTCCCCTGACAGGATGGCACACCAAGCCGCCCCCTGCTGATAACACTCTTGAGGCTAACCTTGCTCGCGTTAAGTTCTTCCGGAATGATTTGTATGGTCACGTGACGTCCACAGGGGTTGATGCGACATCTTTCTCCTCCGTCTGGCATGAAATAAGCATTACTCTTCATTCGCTGGGTTTAGATCAAGCTGAAATTGACAGACTGAAGGCAGAGCATGGAGCAGAGGAAGATTACCTTGATGCCTTAAGTGAGTGGGCTGACAGTGAAGAGGACATAAAAACGCAGTTGAAAGACATCCACCAGACGCAACTAAAACTCAGTAAAACAGTTGAAGATGGCAATTTAAACATGGAAGATCTACGTCAAGCCCTAAGCAAAACTCAGGATGTTGTAGATGAAGCAGTGGGGATAGAACTCAAAGGACATCAAGAATTGAGGGCAGCACACAAGGAAAGCATGTCACGTTTAGAGGGAGTGTGTGAGTCCCAAACTAAAACCAGCCAAGCTGTGGACGAAATTCGTGAATCAATTCAAGAAGTAAAACAGGAAGTAAAAAGCTTGACGAAAAAGAAAAGCGATCACGCAGATGAAGTGCTTAGGACCCTTGTGAAGTTTGAATTCAAAGGAGACACAGAATTTCATGCAAAGAAATTCCAGGAAGGAACTCGTGAGTGGATCTTCAAAAGGATCGAAGACTGGTTAGACGACCGGAGCTCGCCACATCGGGCGATGGTAATCAGTGGAAATCCAGGGATGGGAAAGACTGTTATCTCCGCTGTTGTTTCGCAAAGAATTCAAAAAGCTGGAAGACTCTCGGGAAGCCACTTTTGTCAGCATGACGATTCACGGTACCGAGATCCACGTTTAATGCTCCAGTCTTTGGCTTGTCACTTGTGTCAAGCGATGCAAAATTACAAAAATGCTCTAGTGGAACAGCTGTCAAGAAATCTGGGTAAAGACCTCAACAACATGGGTGTTAAAGAGCTGTTTGCGTTGCTCTTCAAAGAGCCTCTAAGCACAGTACAAGATCCTGGAAGAAACATCCTAATAGTCATAGATGGCCTCGATGAAAGCGAGTACAAAGGACGAAATGAGCTTCTACATGTAATCAGTAACCACTTTTCTATGCTTCCAGTCTGGATTAGAATACTCATTACAACTCGTCCAGAGAAGAACGTTACAGAGGCATTGCGACATTTGAAACCAATAGAGCTTGAACAAAAACAAGAAGAAAACTTAAAGGACATTCAAACCTTGTTTGAAACACAACTCAGCCTCAAAATTGGTGAGGAGCATAAAGATGTTCTCTTGAAAGAGCTGGTCAAGAAATCAGAAGGCCTTTTTATTTACGCTTACTTTATAGTGGATTTTATCCAAAAGAATGTTTCAATTCTCAGCACTGATCAGCTGGAAAGTGTGTTACCTTCAGATATTTCATCTGTTTATCTGTCCTATTTTACACGGTTAGAGGATGAACTTTGCAAAGAGCTTCATGCAGATGAGGAACATTTTTTGCGTTTCTTGTGTGCATTGACCGCTGCAAGGGAACCATTACCAGTAGAATTCATTGCCAAAATTCTAAACCCGGGTGGAAAATCTTTGACTGCGCAGCGAAAAGTTAAAAAAGCAATATCTTGCATCTCTACACTGTTACCAGTTCGCGAGGGTCGCCTTCACTTTTTTCACAAATCAATCAAGGACTGGCTAATAGCATCATCGCCTTATGAACAACATGATTTTACCGCGGATGAGAAAGAAGGTCATATTGTTCTTTCTGATCTCTGTGCTTCTGAACTCGAAAGCTTGCAGCGAAAAGGGGTTCATGGCAAACAGTTTTCGAATACTGAAACATATGCTTTGCATCATGGTACCCAGCACATGCTTCAGTTGGTGAATGATCATGACTGCGCTGACGCAACAAGAGCCAATAGTGTCAAAGCAGAACAGGTCTACAAATACGCAACGGACCTGGAGCTTGTTTATGCGAAACTTAAAGTTAAGAGCACATTCGCTACAGAAGATCTTCTCAGTCTTCACAGTCAAAGTTGCAGTTTATTAAGCGATGAAAGAGATTTCGTTGTGACTTCTCTCCTTAGCCTTCTTAAAAAACACTCTTATATCTTGGTTGATCACCCTCACCTACTTTTCCAATGCTTGATTAACGAAGGAATTCCTGAATTATCGTCTTCAGCAGAAATTACCCTTGAATCGTCAACACCCAAAATACCCTACATGAAACATTTAAAGAATGAAGACCAAAGAAGAGCTAATAAGGCAAGGTTTTACTGTTCAGACAAAATCGTTTGTTTTGATGTTTCACCTGAAATCGACTACTTGATATGCGAATGTCGAGATGGAACTATCTGTCTGTGGTCCCTTCTGACAGGTAACAAGATATGGGTTCGGCCAACATTGACGAAGAAAGAGTTCTATTCTGGATATCCAGACGACAGTGCATACCGTGTTGTAGGTAATAACTCTTTGTCTTATTACCGTTCTGTGACGTTTCATCCAAATGGGGAATCTGTGCTAGCAGGGACACTCCAATTTGTGTATACTCTGGGTGGAGATAGGAAAGACCTTTTCCCCAGCAGTGATAGCATTTTTTCAAATTTCGTCTTTTGCAAAGACAAGAAAGAAGTTTTAACTGACCGCCCAAATAAGCCAAAGGAGGTAGCCTTGTGGAATATAGTAAATGGTGAGAACGTCTTAAACATCATTGCTGACGAAGAAATTGCTACCTTTACCATTTCAGAAGACGGGTCACAAGTTGCTTTTTCCCAAGTGACGTTTGAAATTATTATTTTTGATCGAGTTAACGAAAGTGTCCAGAGGATTCTTCGAACTGAGTCGGGGGTTTGTGGACTGNGTAACAAGATATGGGTTCGGCCAACATTGACGAAGAAAGAGTTCTATTCTGGATATCCAGACGACAGTGCATACCGTGTTGTAGGTAATAACTCTTTGTCTTATTACCGTTCTGTGACGTTTCATCCAAATGGGGAATCTGTGCTAGCAGGGACACTCCAATTTGTGTATACTCTGGGTGGAGATAGGAAAGACCTTTTCCCCAGCAGTGATAGCATTTTTTCAAATTTCGTCTTTTGCAAAGACAAGAAAGAAGTTTTAACTGACCGCCCAAATAAGCCAAAGGAGGTAGCCTTGTGGAATATAGTAAATGGTGAGAACGTCTTAAACATCATTGCTGACGAAGAAATTGCTACCTTTACCATTTCAGAAGACGGGTCACAAGTTGCTTTTTCCCAAGTGACGTTTGAAATTATTATTTTTGATCGAGTTAACGAAAGTGTCCAGAGGATTCTTCGAACTGAGTCGGGGGTTTGTGGACTGATGCATTTCACACCCGATACTAAGAACACCCTTGTTTGCGGGTTTCTTGGTTTTACTGTCGAGGAAGAATTTGGCACTTATAAAAGTTATTTTTGTGATCGATCACAGTTTTTAAGTGTTAATTCCGATCTCGATTTTGATCCTGTTGAACCTCAAACTTTTACGTTATGGCCATACGACTCATCAGGCACTTTGGATTGGGATTTGGGATACTGGGATTTAACGATGCAGGACATAAGCGACTGTTGGGTGCATTGCGTAATCCCCAGTAAGTTTTTGTATGCAGGATCCTACATCAGACTCAATGATGAGTCGGCATTGGTTGGTAGCCCAGCTTGCAAATACGTCGCTATGGTAAATACTGAAGAGGCGTTTCGATTGCTGAATGGTAGAGTTGTCGAGAAGATTGCATTCTCTCTAGAAGGAGATGCCATTTATTCCATTACTTCAGAATTAGAATCTTTTCATGATACCTTAACGTTGACTGTTTTTAGAATGTCAAATAATGAACTGTTGAGCACAAAAATATTCCCTGGCCCCATTTCCATCTTTCCAACGAGAGATGGCGTCATGCTTCTAAAACATGACAGAGTCGCAGAGTTATGGAGCTTTGATATGTCCACTTGTCTTAGACCTCTTCCAAAGGTTACCGAATACGAGAAAGTTTATACTATTTCAGAGGTATTTATAGCCTGTTGTTATTCGGTGCCATTTTACGAACTGTCGGAGGATTTAGAGAATGAGGGTTCAGATAATTCAGAAGACTGGCCTAA